GGCGCCATAGCCGTGCTCCACACTGGCGACCTGTACATCCACACTGACGACCTGTACAACAACAACAACAACAACACATACCTGCGTCAGCGGTACTTAACTGGGCGCCATAGCCGTGCTCCACGCTGTCGAAGAAGAAGAAGAGGGACGGAGGCCATACCTGCGTCAGCGGTACTTACCTGGGCGCCATAGCCGTGCTCCACCCTGTCGACCTGCACAACAACAACAACAACAACAACAACAACAACAACAACAACAACAACCACAACAACAACCAGAACCACAACCACCTGGGCGCCATCGCCGTGCTCCACGCTGTCAACCTGCACAACAACAACGACAACAGCAACAACCACAACAACAACCACCACAAGAAGAAGAAGAAGAAGAAGAAGAAGAAGAAGAAGGAAGAAGAAGAAGAAGGAAGAAGAAGAAGAAGAAGAAGAAGAAGAAGAAGTAGAAGAAGAAGAAGAAGAAGAACCACCTGGGGCGGAGGCCATACCTGCGTCACGGTACTTACCTGGGCGCCATTGCCGTGCTCCACGCTATCGACCTGCACAACAACAACAACAACAACAACAACAACAACAACAACAACAACAACAACAACAACAACAACAACAACAGCAACAACCACAACAACAACCAGAACCACAACCACCTGGGCGCCATAGCCGTGCTCCACGCTGTCAACCTGCACAACAACAACAACAACAACAACAACCAGAAGAAGAAGACGAAGAAGACGAAGACGAAGACGAGGAAGAAGAAGAAGACGAAGAAGAAGAAGAAGAAGAAGAAGAAGAAGAAGAAAAAGAAAAAGAAGAAGTACATCTTTTTAAAAAATTTGAATGACTCATAGATTTTTAAGAATATTCTTTTCTTCAATATTCTTTATTTTAAATAGATATATTTTTCATTATGAATCAATTGCCTTGGTAAAGTTTTATTGTATTATTTCCCATCTTCGCAGGATTTGTTATTCCATTACTTCCTAGTAAAGAAGAAGAAGAAGAAGAAGAAGAAGAAGAAGAAGAAGAGGGGCGGAGGCCATACCTGCATCAGCCGTACTTCACTGGGCGCGATAGCCGTGATCCACACTGGCGCCCTGTACAACAACAACAACAACAACAAATACCTGCGTCAGCAGTACTTAACTGGGCGCCATAGCCGCACTCCACATTGGCGACCTGTAGAGGAAGAAGAACAAGAAGAACAAGAAGACGAAGAAGAAGAAGAGGGGCGGAGGCCATACCTGCGTCAGCCGTACTTAACTGGGCGCCGTACCCGTGCTCCACACTGGCGACCTGTACATTAACACTGGCAACCTGTACAACAACAACAACAACAACAATAACACATACCTGCGTCAACTGGGGGCCATAGCCGTGCTCCACACTGCCGACCTGAACAACAACAACAACAACAACCACAAGAAGAAGAAGAAGACGAAGAAGAAGAGGGGTGGAGGCCATACCTGCGTTTGCGGTACTTAACTGGGCGCCATAGCCGTGCACCATACTGGCGACCTGCACAACAACAACAACAACAACACATCCCTGCGTCAGCGGTACTTAACTGGGCGCCATAGCCGTGCTCCACACTGGCGACCTGCACAACAACAACAACAACAACAACAATAACAACAACAACAACCACATGAAGAAGAAGAAGAAGAAGAAGAAGAAGAAGAAGAAGAAGAAGAAGAAAAGGGGCGGAGGCCATATCTGCGGCAGCGGTACTTACCTGGGCGCCATAGCCGTGCTCCACGTTGTAAACGAAGAAGAAGAGGGGCGGAGGCCATACCTGCGTCAGCCGTACTTACCTGGGCGCCATAGCCGTGCTCCACGCTGTCGACCTGCACAACAACAACAACAACAACAACAGCAACAACCACAACAACAACCACCAGAAGAACAAAAAGAAGCCACAACAACAACCACCAGAAGAAGAAGAAGAAGAAGAAGAAGAAGAAGAAGAAGAAGAAGAAGAAGAAGAAGAAGAAGAAGAAGCAAAAGAACCAGAAGAAGAAGAAGAAGAAGAAGAAGAAGAAGAAGAAGAAGAAGAAGAAGCAGAAGAAGCAAAAGAACCAGAAGAAGAAGAAGAAGAAGAAGAAGAACCACCTGGGCACCATAGCCGTGTTCGACACTGTCGAAGAAGAAGAAGAGGGGCGAAGACCATACCTGCGTCAGCGGTACTTACCTGCGCGCCATTGCCGTGCTCCACGTTGTCGACCTGCACAACAACAACAACAACAACAACAACAACAACAACAACAACATTGAAGAAAAGAATATTGCCTGGGCGCCATTGTCGTGCTCCACGCTATCGACCTGCACAACAACAACAACAACAACAACAACAACAACAACCACAACCACAACCACAACAACAACCAGAACCACAACCACCTGGGCACCATAGCCGTGCTCCACGCTGTGGGCCTGCACATCAACAACTACAACAACAACAACAATAACCACAACAACAACCACCAAAAGAAGAAGACGAAGAAGACGAAGAAGAAGACGAGGAAGAAGAAGAAGAAGAAGAAGAGGAAGAAGAAGAAGAAGAAGTACATATTTAAAAAAAAAATGAATGAATCATAGATTTTAAGAATATTCTTTTCTTCAATATTCTTTATTTTACATGGATATATTTTTCATTATGAATCAATTGCCTTCGTTAAGTATTATTGTATTATTTCCCATCTTTGTAGGATTTGTTATTCCATTACTTCCTAGTAGAGAAGAAGAAGAAGAAGAAGAAGAAGAAGAAAAAGAAGAAGAAGAAGAAGAAGAAGAAAAAGAAGAAGAAGAAGAAGAAGAAGAAGAAGAGGGGCGGAGGCCATACCTGCATAAGCGGTACTTAACTGGGCGCCATAGCCTTGCTCCACACTGGCGACCTGTACAACAACAACAACAACAACCCATACCTGCGTCAGCGGTACTTAACTGGGCGCCATAGCCGCGCTCCTCACTGACGACCTGAAGAAGAAGAAGAAGAAGAAGAAGAAGAAGAAGAAGACGAAGACGAAGACGAAGACGAAGAAGAAGAAGAGGGGCGGAGGCCATACCTGCGTCAGCCCTACTTAATTGGGCGCCATAGCCGTGCTCCACACTGGCGACCTGTACATCCACACTGGCGACCTGTACAACAACAACAACACATACCTGCGTCACTGGGCGCCATAGCCGTGCTCCACACTGGCGACCTGAACAACAACAACAACAACAACAACAACAACAACAACAACAACAACAACAACAACAACAACAACAACAACAACAACAACAACAACAACAAGTAGCGCGGAGGCCATACCTGCGTCAGCGGTACTTAACTGGGCGCCATAGCCGTGCTCCACACTGGTCACCTGCACAACAACAACAACAACAACACATCCCTGCGTCAGCGGTACTTAACTGGGCNAACAACAACAACAACAACAACAACAACAACAACAACAACAACAACAACAACAACAACAACCACATGAAGAAGAAGAAGAAGAAGAAGAAGAAGAAGAAGAAGAAGAGGGGCGGAGCCATACCTGCGGCAGCGGTACTTACCTGGGCGCCATAGCCGTGCTCCACGCTGTCGAAGAAGTAGAAGAGGGGCGGAGGCCATACCTGCATCAGCGGTACTTACCTGTGCGCCATAGCCGTGCTCCGCGCTGTCGACCTGCACAACAACAACAACAACAACAACAACAAAAACAGCAACAGCAACAGCAACAGCAACAACCACAACAACAACCAGAACCACAACCACCTGTGCGCCATAGCCGTGCTCCACGCTGTCGACCTGCACAACAACAACAACAACCACCAGAAGAAGAAGAAGAAGAAGAAGAAAAAGAAGAAGAAGAAGAAGAAGAAGAAGAAGAAGAAGAAGAAGAAGAAGAAGGAGAAGAAGAAGTAGAAGAACCACCTGAACGCCATAGCCGTGCTCCACGCTGTCAAAAAGAAGAAGAAGAGGGGCGGAGGCCATACCTGCGTCAGCGGTACTTACCTGGGCGCCATTGCCGTGCTCCACGTTGTCGACCTGCACAACAACAACAACAACAACAACAACAACAACAACAACAACAACAACAACAGCAGCAACCACAACAACAACCAGAACCACGACCACCTGGGAGCCATAGCCGTGCTCCACGCTGTCGACCTGCACATCAACAACAACAACAACAACAACAACAACAACAACCACAACAACAACAACAACAACAACAACATCCACAACAACAACCACCAAAAGAAGAAGACGAAGAAGACGAAGACGAAGACGAGGAAGAAGAAGAAGAAGAAGTAGAAGAAGAAGTACATATTTTAAAAAAAATAGAATAAATCATAGATTTTTAAGAATATTCTTTTCTTCAATATTCTTTATTTCAAATGGATATATTTTTCGTTATGAATCAATTGCCTTGGAGAAGTATTATTATATTATTTCCCATCTTTGCAGGATTTGTTATTCCATTACTTCCTAGTAGGGAAGAAGAAGAAGAAGAAGAAGAAGAAGAAGAAGAAGAAGAAGAAAAAGAAGAAGAGGGGCGGAGGCCATACCTGCATCAGCCGTACTTTCCTGGGTGCCATAGCCGTGCTCCACACTGTCGACCTGTACAACAACAACAACAACAACGACACATACCTGCGTCAGCGGTACTTAACTGGGCGCCATAGCCGCGCTCCACACTGGCAACCTGAAGAAGAAGAAGAAGAAGAAGAAGAAGAAGAAGAAGAAGAAGAAGAAGAAGAAGAAGAGGGGCGGAGGCCATACCTGCGTCAGCCGTACTTAACTGGGCGCCATAGCCGTGCTCCACACTGGCGACCTGTACATCCACACTGGCGACCTGTACAACAACAACACATACCTTCGTCAGCGGTACTTAACTGGGCGCCATAGCCGTGCTCCACACTGGCGACCTGTACATCCACACTGGCGACCTGTACAACAACAACACATCCCTGCGTCAGCGGTACTTAACATCGCGCCATAGCCGTGCTCCACACTGGCGACCTGAACAACAACAACAACAATAACAACAACAACCACAACCACATGAAGAAGAAGAAGAAGAAGAAGAGGGGCAGAGGTCACACCTGCGTCAGCGGTACTTAACTGGGCGCCATAGCCGTGCTCCACATTGGCGACCTGCACAACAACAACAACAACAACACATCCCTGCGTCAGCGGTACTTAACATCGCGCCATAGCCGTGCTCCACACTGGCGACCTGAACAACAACAACAACAACGACAACAACAACCACAACCACATGAGAAAGAAGAAGAAGAGGAAGAGGGGCGGAGGCCATACCTGCGTCAGCGGTACTTAACTGGGCGCCATAGCCGTGCTCAACACTAGCGACCTGCACAA